TTACTGCCAACTCTCATCAACGAAACTTCTGCCCCAAACTGGCCTCTTGACCGTCTGCCCCAAATACTCTTGATACATTTCTTTCACGCCATTCTTCTCATTTCCCACTGAAACAGTACATACTTGGGAGGTTGAGGTTCAGTTACAATCCCATCCCCTCTCTGAAGTCTTTCTTGCGATGCCACACGGACATTTAGCGATCTGTTATTCCTGTGAATCTTGGCACTTTCTGAAGACAGGGATGGATTGTTATAGCTTTTTAATGTCCTCCAACATTAAAAATGTTCAATATTGAATAAATCAACAAATATTTACTGAGCATTATCTATGTGCAGCACACTACACTGGACCGTATTTAATGGATTATCCACCCAAATAATGGGTTTGGGAAAACAAATCTAATACCTTAATTGCCAACTGAGACTGCTTAATTGCCAACTTAATTGCCAAAGCTATCTCAACAGATTTAGAGTATAATACATAAGAAAATACCTTTGACTAAGAAGCTGTGGGACTCAAGATACTTGACTCTTTCTAACTACTCCAAAATCTGGAAAAATTCCCTTCTCTTCTCATTATAAAAGATGAAATAAGAGTGATGTGTTTTACATTTGTGCTCAAAGCAATGCTGAACACAGAATCAGAGCCTCCTCACAGGGTTCCCATCTTCTGGGCATAACCATGCTCTCTAGAGGAGAAATGAGCTTGGGGAGAGCTTGGCAACTTCCTGTAATTCACTATCAACCTGGTAGTGTCTACACATGCTAGCAAAGTCAAACACCTTCCTCTGAGATCCAATCAGTTTGAGAATGGTCTTCCACTTTGCTAATGTTCCAGTTCAAGCAAAGAGAATACTCAAGAGATGCAGATTTTAGTTCCCGTTCTGCCAGGTACTGACTGAGTGAATTCTAATAAGTTGTCAAAGGGAGATGATAAGACCTGAACTGCATACTTCAAAGGGTAAATGTGAGGATGAAATCAGATAATGGATGGGAAAGCAATGTGAAAAGTAAAAGCACTATACAAATGTAAGACAGCAATGGCTGTGCTAGAGGTAAAAGAGATTCCACTGAGAAAATGTTTGAAACTGAATGGATGGTTCTGTCTGAACTAGCAGTTTGCCGTCCTTTCTTTATATTCCATTCATTTCATTTCACAATTAGGTACCTACTATGCACAAGATAGCACGTGTACGCAAAGACGAAGTTGTAGATTCTGCTCTCATGGACTTTACATAGGAGAGAAATACACATTTGTGATACTTAGAAGAATGAAGTCCTACAGGAGAAAGTAGGTGGGGGGTAGGTAGAGAACAATGAGAGACAGCCTTGGAGAGTCTCGGAAGCCACTTCTTCCATCGGTCAGTTTAACAACAGTACTCTTAGAGACTCTTCATTTTAGAAAGCAGCTTGAAGGTCTTGCATGTTTTTATCTCACAATTTTTCTTGAGCTAAGGCAACTCAATAAATGGGGGAAAAGTTCTCATTCATACAGTCAACACAGATTTACTGACTGTCAGCAACAGTGCTACGGAGACAGTGATGACCAAGAGAGAGTCCCTGTTTTCAACAGCTCATAGATGAGAGGGGTTCCCAACAAGTAAACCAACACCTCAGTGCAGATGCTAAGGAGTCAAAGGAGGGGCACCCAACTCAGGGGGCCATTTAGGGAAGACCCTTGGCAGAGGAGGTGTAGCCTGTCCTGACTCTTGAAGGATGAGTGAACACTGGCCTGGTGGATGATGGATGGTGGTGGCGGGAAGAAAAGGCATTTCAGCTGGAGGGAACAGCTCATACAGAGGAGCAGGGGCACAAGAGACCAGGAAAAGCTTGGACACACCCAGAAGGGCCTTATAAACCATGGTCCAAAGTCAGGCTGTTATTCTGAAGATGTCTGGGAGTGTACACAGGGTGAGAACAGGAAAAGAAAAGAGAGGACGGATCCCAAGAAATACCAATATTTGGCAGACAGAGGTAGAAGAATCCAGAAGAGTCAGAAAAAAATCGTAACTACATGGTCTCCATTCTTTTCACAACAGACTTGGGTGACAAAGTGTCAGCTGGGATTATCCATTCCATGTTTTGGTTGGAGAAAATAAGACAGAGAAAGGTTAAATGTTTGACCAGGCCACATTGTGAGTGAGGGAGCCAGAACCGAAACTCTGTACTCTAACTCCTAGCCAAATTTACCTGCACTGACTCTAATTTCCTTCATTCTGAGTCACACTCTTAGACCTCTTGGACCTCCAGTACTCCTCTTCCTTGTCATTTAAGCCTAAAATCATCACGGTGTGTGGTTCCAGGCAAGGCTACAATCCCTGGAGACAGCTACACCAGATTAAGGTCATTATTCTTAATTCTACTTAATTCTCATTCCATACCATAATAAAGACACACAGACACACACACGTGCACACATATATTAAGAGAGAGGAAGACGGGGGGAGGAGGGGAGAGAGAGAAGCACTTGACTTGGGGCCAAGGGATAGATCAGTAACCTGAGATGTGAACATTAAATGCCTTCTTCCTAGCAGGGCATACCACTGGGCCAACTTGCTGAAAGGAAGAGGGTGGATAGGTGGATGGGTACATGGCGCAGGAAGGGAGCAGGTACCCACTAAACAAACAGGGGGTGGGCGGGCTGCATGCACAGAGGAAGCAGAGAACAAAGGCCTCTCACTCTTCATGCAAAGTCCACAGTGTTAAAAGGGCATCAATATTGGACATTTCTCACTGTGACATTTTGAAAGCCCAGAACAATGGTTACCCTCTGGGGACCATGGGCTCTGTGCCCCTAGGCCTTATTCAATGATGGCTGGCACATCCCATGTGCTTGGTGAACTTGACCTTGGGCATCAGCCTCCCATGATGGCTCTACGTCACTCTGGTCTCTTTCCCCACTGAGAATTCCAGTCTAGGATGAATGGCTGGATTCATTCTGGGAGCAGAAAAACCACTCCAGGAGTGAATCAGAAGGACCCAGCCCCAGTCCCCTTGCCAGCCATTGAGCCAGGAACTGAGTGCAATTGTGTGCCCAGGCGCCGGTGCTGTTCCCTCTTAGAGAGAGGGGGTCAGGGTCCATGCGAGAGATGACGTAGAAGCCCTCTAAGGAAGAAGAGAAAGGAATCTCAGCTTTGAGGGACAAAGCTGCCCTTTTGGTTGTGACCCTCAGTCAAAGAGGTGCCAAGATGTGCATGCACTGGTAAATTAATTCTACTGGATAAAAATCTCAGCTTTTGCTAGACAGCTAGTTGTCAATTTCAATTCCCCTTCAACCTGACAGATTTTAGGAAATAGGTTACTAGTTTTTCAAGAAAAACTTTCTGCAAGATGGGTGGAAACAGTGTGCCTAAGATCACCCAGAGAATCCTTTTCCTTTAGTGGTCTCTGCTCTACTCTTACCCTGATTTGTGAAGAAAATATTGATTCCTTTTTAAAAATTATAAACATCAACCTAAGCAATATAAAGCACCTGTACTTTCTGCTTTTTACTTGGAAAAACTAGGTGAGAGAACTGCATTCTCAAGATGCAGCATGCAAGAGGATATCTACATCACTAGGTTGGGGACCCAGGCTGACACTTTAACGGAGTAATTCCTCTAGGAAAGGGAATCAAAGGGTTGCCACTTTGCCTATCACTAACTAGGTTATAACAAGATGGGGAAGTTAGCTTTTTAAGGCTCCAGGCGGCTATGGGCTTCCTGGAGCAAAGGTGGAGGGAAAGGAGCTGCTCCTGCTGGGGCTTATTAGGGCATTGCTTGGGGCTTCCCCTCCACATGCTGGTGCCCATTGTCTGACATTTTTCCATCAATCTTCCTCTAAGAAGCAGGGGAGAAGAAGGGACAGAAATGGTTTAAATTTTACATGAGAGCTCTTCTTGACATTGACTGACATCAGCTGTTTGTGGCCAGGGCTTAGTGTCCACCGATGGCCAAACGTGAGCATGTATGAGCCTTCTCGAGGGATATTCTATCTTTATTCATCATAGCTAGTGCACTTTGTGTAAAGAAACAAGCTAGACTCTGAGGACAGAGTGGCAAAC